AGGTCTGGCATGTCCTTAACAACGTATTTATCCGGGTACGTGCGGACAGAGTTTTTTTTAAAACGCGGTGGTGTGGATGCAAGTTTTTGGAGGGGCGGATATTCGTTTTTTAAAAAACCCCGGCTACGTGTGGACTAGGCCTTAGTTTAAAGAAGCAGAATTTTTTCTTGACACAGTTTATTACCTGGCTCAGATGGTTTATTTAGGCCAGTCCAGCATCATTTTTCTTGTGTGGTCTTTGTTTTTAATCAAATCAAGAATAATAAAGTCCATCAAATTGTTTCAAAATGTAAATATTGTAATGTTAGTCGTCTTTGTTCAACTGTTGTGAAAAACTGGTCTCGCTGCTACAGAAAGATCCCAGTTTTCTAACTAAAAGCTTTTTAACACTCTGCAGTCATACAGCTATGATAATAGGTTTCATTCTGTTGCAGGCTTCAAAAATATTTTTTATTTAAAAACTGTAAAAATGATTTCATTGATGTTCTGTAACCCTCTGGAGGCAGGCAGGTTAAAACCTACCCACCTGGTTATCCCCCACGTGGTTCATGAGCATTTGGCTCAGAAGTTCCCCTGAAGGACTTAGTTGTTCGTCCTTTTGTCAAAACTTATTTTGAGACAGAGGGGATTAAAACTCAGAAATTGGCGTCATATTTGTAAAAGGCGAACATTAAATTTTAAATGTTTTTATCTAAATCGACCGTCTGCTGGAGACAAAAGCCTTAAAAAATCCCTCTGAGGGCCGAGAGAGGCCCCCGAGCCACATGCTTGATCTCCACCTTCACGGCTGCAGCACAGATTCTCATGATGAGACAAGTAATGACTTCATTCATTCATCCATTCATCTATCTGACTAATTTAAGCGTTTTTATGTTTAACAGATTCTGCCCTGAACTCTAAATGAATTATAAACTTTTATATTTGTGATATTTATGAAAACAAAACAAAAGGAGCGCTTACATGGTCGTGGTGAACATTTCGCCTGTGAAAGAGAAAAAACGGGGGGGGGGGGGGGGTTAGACACCGACTCTGGACATAAAAGTACTTTTTAATAATACTTTTACTCACATTTGCTCCAAACCACAAACCACAGAGGAGCAGGGTGAAGAGAAGCCCTGATGATGTCATCTGCGTGTGGAAGTGATGCGGTTAGTAAAATCCTCTCAACGGGTTAATTTAAAATAAAAGTCTTCCACACAAACAAGCGTCTGCCAGAAGCATTTCATTCCTACATCACTGACATCTCATCATAAAGAGCTTCTTTACTCGTCAGAATGGAAAGAAGAATTTCTGTTTTACCTTGAGACGACGATGAGGATGAAGATGATGAGATGAAGCCTGTGACTGATCACGCTGGAGTTTTTATACAGATGTTCTGCTTTTCTAGGCTTGTGTAAAATGCACCGACCGGAACACATTAAATATTGCCACAGGGTTGCAGACAAAAGAAAACACGGGCGTTACCTGTTGGTTCACACGTTTACCTGAGCCTCTGAAAAGGGAGGGTGTTTCACATCAGACTCATCTCTAAACTGTCAGGGTCCAGGGCTTTGTCAACAGTGGATCTGTGTTTTCCACCTTTCTGCTCAGAGTCCCGGGGAGCTGACGCAAGGTCCCTGAGATAGAGGCGGGGCCACACCTGGACAGGTCGCTGGTCCATCAAGGTGTGTCTCCTTTATGGAGGATTTAACAAGTAAAATGTTGCAGAAATCACAAAACATCAAAGATCAGGAGACTTTTTAAGGATAGAAAGAAAATGATTTTTATATTTTTATGCCATAAGATTTAAAATCAGCTGATTTTGCTCTTTGGTATAAATTATGAAACGTGCATGAAGGGTTTGCCAGGCTTTGAGTCACACAGATAATTTATTTGCTGAAAAGATGTTGAGTAAGTAAGAACATTTTATTTAAACAGCACTCATTACAGACATAGAATCACAAAGTGCTTCACGTAACAGAGTCATAAAATCACAATGATCTCAAAACAGAAATCGATTAAAATCAGAAAATGAAGTCATATCACCATATATATATGCATATGTATATATATACATATATATATGTATATATGTATATATATATATATATATATATATATATATGTATATATATATATATATATATATATATATATATGTATATATACATATATACATATATATATATATATATATATATGTATATATGTATGTATATATACATATATACATACATATATACATATATATATATATATATATGTATATATGTATATATACATATATATACATATATATATATATATATATACATATATATATATATATATATATATATATATATATATATATGTGGACACGTGTGTGTGTGTGTGTGTGTGTGTGTGTGTGTGTGTGTGTGTGTGTGTGTGTGTGTGCATATATTTTTGCTCTTCTTTCTGTGTTAATTTTGTTTGTTTTTTTGTCTCTATGACCATCCAGTCCAGAAATCACTTCATTCAAAATTAATTTAGAACTAAACTGTTGTTTCATTTGTATTAATGACTCATCATAACGAGTTTAATATCTCATAACAAGTTTAATGTCGCATCATTACGACTTTCATATCTCATTCTGACAAGATACTCTCCTCTTCTTTAACTTACTCTGACTTTAGTACACTTATGAAACTTGACCTACAAACAGGCACAAAAACAAAAAAGGAGAAGCACTTGAAGGTGCAGGACTGGGCTCAGCACAGATGTTTGTTTGTTTGTTTGTTTGTTTGTTTGTTTGTTTGTTTGTTTACTGTATTTTTACTGTAATGATTTTATTTAGTGGACTCCACAGAAAAAGAGATAAACTGTTATTTTTCAACTTTAGATGAGTTTGTTTTCCTTTAATTCTAAATGATCTATTTTTACTGAATACTGAGCAGAACATTCTGAGTATTTACAGCCTTTCATTTGTTTGGTTTGTTTACTGTAAAAATCACCAATTTCACTAAGACATAAATGTTAAAATAAAAACTCACCTCGGGTTTTAGGTGGCTTGATTATCACCTGATAGTCGCTTTAAGCGTCTGCTAAATACATTAATACATAAAGTCTTTACATTACTGGTGTTTTTCCAAATAAATGATTATGTGTTTACATTAAATAATTGACTTTTATTTTTTTAAAAGATGTTTTCAGAAACAAAAAAGAAACCATAAGTTCTGTTAATGCAGTAAAGCTAATAAAACAAAGCTTAATGTTGGATAAACAGGCTGAAATAGGCGTTATTTGGTGATCAAAAACTATAAAGCGTGTATTATTAATTACAGCCAGAACAGCCTTTTACTCTGAAACCATTATTTTTGAGAAGCTCACATGCTTTTACTCTGAAATTTTCGGGCTATATTTCCTGGTACAATGTCCTTAGGATTAAGACTTTTAATGCAAAAGTCAACTCAACAGTCTGTTTAATTTATGTCCTCAGATATTCTAATCCTTAGATAACACGGGTGTGTTGGACTGGAAAAACACAAAGTACACAACCAGAGTCTCAGATAAACTGCTGACTCAGAACTCCTTTATTTTTGTTCTTTTCTAAACAAAAACTTTCACTGTTTGAAGAGATCAGGCACGAACATCTGGGAACACAATCCCTGTCACGGACTCATTCACACACTCGTTCTCTGAAATAACACCGTCAGTGTATCCTCTGTCCTTGAGAGGTGCACCACCGAGTCTTCACCTGAACATGTGGCTACTGTGTAGGGATGTGTATTGGTGAAATTATGGCGCCACGACACGTATCACGATACAGAGGAGACGATACAATATACCACGATATATCGCGGTACATTCAGCCAGACGATATTAGTGATTTTTTATACTGAATTTATGTAGGAAAGTTCAACAAGCAGTCCAAACTGATACATAAAATGTTTACAGTGAGGTGTCTGAACTATAATAGAGGGCTTACATTTCAATAGTGGAAACAAAACCCTTTGTGCACTGCTGCCATCTAGCGGTTGGCATTAGAATTGCACCAAAAGATATGAAAATACACAAATATTTGCATAAAAATAAAAATTCACCATTTTCATTCATGACCAGCGTGTGCAGCAACATGTTAATGTTACAATTAAACGATAAAGTAGGAAAATTTTACCTGCTGGGTTCTGATTCTGCTGGGCAGACCCTCAGGCCGCTGAGAGCTGCACTGATCATGGCGTCCAGGTCTGAGATGATGCTCAGATGTTCTGATGGGAATCTTTTCTTGGTGTATTTTGTTACCTCCGTGATGTTCTCTGTGCATAACGTTTAAAATGTCTGCTCACCTGCATGAGTCTGTCAGAATGACCCAAAATAAACGGTCAGAACCAGCGAATGCCCGGTTAATGGCAACCCTGCCTACGCTCAACTTTGCCTTCTCGTGCAGATAGCATGGCAGCCCTTCACACAACAGGGGTGGACCATTTATGCAGGTTTTTAATGAGCAAGTCACCCCCAAATCAACTTCGTTTTTCTGATAAACTATATAAATGTGTGTCTAATCGTGCTGCAGACACGTGTCGTCAATAGTTTTGCACTTTAGTGCATTTTAGTTAAAATTTTAATTTTCTGCCTAAAACTGTCAGTGTTGTGCCGTTGTCAGGTAAAAACTCTGCACTGCATTTGAATTTAAATATGCCATCGCTATTGGCTAAGAGGTACCCTAAAACGTTAGCTGGTACCATATGATGTCACAATGTCGTAGTGAGCCTGTGTGTGTATTTGGTGGCGGCTCCGCCCTCTCAGTCTGTTAGACAACAGCATTTGATGCATTTTCAAACAGGAGGTGGGAGTGGAGTAATACTCTGGTAGGGGGTGACTTGCTCTTTAAGCTCACAAAGCGAATAGTGTTTATACACCTAGCTATCCCATCATGCAACGCGCTACAGCACCCGATAATTCACCTGACAAGGACTGATTTGGTCTTTTTGATTTATTTTGCAGTAAAACAAAGAAGAAAATGTGATGAGGTTTTGCCAATAAAAACTAATAACTGTTATCTGCTGTCCTTAGGACAAAACGTTTCTGACCAAATCTAAATTATTTAAAATGATTCTAAATTATTTTCTTGACCTGAAACAGCAAAAGGCAGTTTCTCCATTTGCCCAGTTAGTGTTTTGTGGTTGAGTTTTTCAACAGCAAAGGATGAAAACAACCACGAAGTCAGCGTTTGTTCGTTTTATTGATCGGAAACAGAACGGGTAGTCACTAGTCTCCTATTTCCGAGGTACCATGAATGCAGCATCAGCTCCGCACGTTGTAGCAGTTGTTCTGCTGCTGTTCTGGTTCTGGTGCTGGTGCTAAAGGCGACCTACTGGGTGTTGGGGTGGGGAGTGGTCCTGTGCCTGGTTCTCCTTTGTGGAACAGGACGAGTCCAGAACTTCAGGTTCGGTTCGTCTTGAAGAAGCCGGACTGTTTGTGGTTTCCCTTCCAGCGCTAGCTTACATCTGTTAGCTAGCTGCTGCAAGCCCGAGCCTGGAGGCTCGTGCTGCTGCTGCTGCCGCGGTTCTGTACATGTGACCCAGAACCAGAACCCTTGACTTTGAATGATCTGCTAACAGTTATTGAAGTTATTGGAGTTTTCTGTTGACGAACGTAGCAGGTAGGCGCGTCTGCTGCACACACTTTAAACAGAATTAAACGTAACTTTCTATTCTTGATGCGTTGCAAGCTTTGGATTTACGTAAAAAGCCTAGATTACCACGGCAGGTACTAACCTAGTTAGCAGCTATAAATAACCTGTGTAGCAGGAATGACTAGACTTATGAACATCTCTTTATAAACTTGAGTTTTATGTCAAATTTTGATTAAAGAAAATAAAGCCAGAAACGTCAGACTCAATGAAAGATCTAAGCTGGTGTTATTGTTTTAATCCTAACCCTCAGATCTATAAAACCCACAAACTCCGATTTCACCTGTTAAAATCAGAGTTGGATGACGTTCTTTGTTCTTTTAGAAAGAATCAAGATTTCCTGCTAAGAAGTTTGTTTTAGGACAAATAAAATGATGGGTTTTATTATCGTTGATATATAAAAGTCTCTCTTCCTCCTTTAAACGTTCCTCACAACACTTCTTTATTAGAATGATCTGAATTATTTTTCCTAAGATGAAATCATTTATAAAAACTAGAAGATGCATTATTTGACATAAATCTGGTTTGTGCTCAAATTCCAACAGATTTTAGAGCTTAAACGTCAGAAAATCGTTTTTCAGACCAAAACCCAGAAATTCAGCCAGCAGGAAACTGATGTAATGTCGTTTCTGCCGAATCATCTCTGGTTTTACGACCACGTTGATCCAGAACTTATAGAAGTCTTTACACGACGAGTTGGGCTCAAAGTCCAGAAGCTCAGATTCCCGTTCCTCCAGCCGGCTGGAGACGAAACCGACTGGATCATAGAAATTAATTCTGCTGAATAAATTAAACTTGACAAAATTCATTTAAATACTTTTCCCAATTTGTTCAAAGAAGGGGACAAAGTTCCCAAAGAGATGAGTTCCTTTAAGATGTATTGAAGCAGAGCTTTTAGGTGTCGACTGTAGTAAAGAAGGTTTTCTGCTTCTTCTGTCCTCTCAGCACCTTTTGCCGTCATGGTGAACCAAGTCCAGCGTGTCGACGGCAGTTGGCTGTCGTGTAAGAGTGACTCGAGTGGCACCAGCAACAGCGGCGGGGAGAGCTCCAAGGAGAGCTCCCGGTGCTCCACGCCAGTTCTGGACGCCGTCCGCTCGGACCGGCTGAGGGACAAGATGAGGAGGAGGATGGAGTCTGGAGACCAGTGGTTCTCGCTGGAGTTCTTCCCTCCTCGAACGGCTAGCGGGGCCGTCAACCTCATCTCCAGGTACGCTGACCGAGTCCGGCTGCCGGGAGGAAAGTCTAAACGAGCGAGGTCCGGAGGAAACTTGTCTCGCGTGTCTTTGAGCAGCGTGTAACATCAAAATGATCAATCGTGTCTAAAATGATCATGGGTTTAGGAAAGCTCCGCCCCCCAACTGAACAGGTGCCGTTTGTGTCCCTGACAGGTTTGACCGTATGGGTTCTGGAGGACCTCTGTTCATCGACATCACCTGGCACCCGGCAGGAGACCCGGGATCGGACAAAGAGACCTCCTCCATGATGATCGCGAGCACGGCGGTGAACTACTGCGGCCTGGAGAGCGTCCTCCACCTGACCTGCTGCAACCAGACCAAAGAGAAGATCACAGGTCACCTGGCCAAAGCCAAACACCTGGGCCTGAAGAACATCATGGCTCTGAGAGGAGGTACGGGTTCTGAAGCTCTCCGTTTCCTTCTGGGGAGAGCTCACCTGCCTGGACAGGTGTCCTGTTCAGCTGTGGGGAGGCGGCTCTTCTCGGGACAAATACTTCAGGTTTTCTTTACATTCCCTAAATTAAACTTCTGAAGATGATCTGGAGTCTTCAGAAGGATTAAAATGCCTTCAAATGTACTTAAATGTAGCCTGAAGGATCATTTCTGATGTTCGTTGCTGAACGTCGTTCAAATTCAGAGTAAAAGTGAAATTAAACAGGAAGTGCACGGAGGAGGAGGTGTGGTGGTCTGGGCCCGTGTTCCTCCGAATCTCTTTGTTCGTGGGTAATGTTTGCTGCTGGTTCTGGTCCCAGTAAAGTTGTTCTGATTTCTCCTCAGACCCGGTGGGGTCCGACTGGGAGGAGGAGGAGGGAGGCTTCAACTACGCCGTCGACCTTGTTAAACACATCCGGTCAGAGTTTGACGACTACTTTGATGTGTGTGTTGCTGGTAGGTTTCCACGGTGACGAGGAGACGTTTCACCAAAACGAATTCCTGCTCATGACGTTAACCTAATCGGTTTTATTCAGTCTGCTTCGGTGGTTTTTGTCCGTTAGTTTGGGGCCGAGGCTTCGTTCGTCTTCAGTAGAACTTCAGATCTCGTCTCTGAGATAAAAGCCTCGGGTTTAGACGTTTCTTCTGTCCGTCGTCGCTGAAGTTGTTTGTGTGCAGGCTATCCCACCGGCCACCCCGAGGCGGAGAGCTACGAGGACGACCTCAGACACCTGAAGGAGAAGGTGGACGCCGGCGCAGACTTCATCATCACTCAGCTGTTCTTCAGAGCCGACACGTTTCTCACGTTCGTGGATGACTGCAGGGCCATCGGCGTCACGTGTCCCATCCTGCCTGGAATCTTCCCCATCCAGGTACAAGCGGCTCCTTCCAGGAACTTGAACCCTATTAATGATTCTCCAGAACCTGAGAAAGGTCCTGCTGATGTCCTCCGAGGCCGTTCCCACAGCTGCTTCTCTGCCTCCACCTTAAAGGTCGGAGAAAACCACGAGCCAGAACGATCCAGTCGCTCCGTTTTGGTTAGATGAAAGTCTAAGCCATGATTTACGACGCCGTTGAAAGAGAAGATCAGTTTAGTTCAGCAGCATTCCACCGCAGCGGTGAGAAAACACAGGCCGCTCCAGGCTTTCCAGGAATTTCCTCTGATGTGTGACTCGCCGTCTTTATCAGTCGCTCCAGCTGGGATTCGATTTGATCTAAAAATAAAACGAGCCCTGAATCTCCCAGGCCACCGTAGACTTCGAACCTTCAGCTGAGGCTCTCTGGGTTTTACTCGCATCTAAACCCAAATCCAGAGTAGTTCTCCCAACAACGTTCCTTCTCCCATCACACTAGCGGAGCACAGCAGTGACGTTTCCTGGTTCCGACTTCCTTCCCGGATGAAGAAGTGATCCGATGGCGGATTAAATCTACACAATTCTGTCATTAAAGACATTTTATTTCTTTTCATCATGATTATGAAGATAATATTTTGTGTTTCTAGTCAACACAGGAGATTTCTCCTCTTCCTGCAGTACCTTTACTAACCAGCAGGCCTCGCTAGAGAGGAGCTGCAGGAATGGCAGCAGAGGAAGAGTTAGACACACAGTAGAGACCTTAAAGGTGTGGAACACAGAAAACCCCTGATTTAATGATTATTTCTGATTATAATGAGTTTTTCATGCGGGCTGAACAAGAAAATAGTTGATAAAACTTCAGCGTTGCAGAGCAAACAGTAAGTGGTAGAGTTGTGTTGCTGTTAGCCAATCAGAGGAGAGGTGTCCACATATCAGGAAGTAAAACTCCAGATCCTGTCGTCTGGAGCTCAGCTGTGATGTGGCTCAGTTCTTGTTCCTGAAACAGGCGCGCTGGAGCTTTGTTTCCCCAGAGTACGTGTCCCTACCAGAGACCGCTGCAGATGTGTTGATGAAACGAGTGAACCAGAAGGTCTCACCGCCCCACCCCGGTGTTAACGCATGCTGTTGGTTTCCAGGGTTACCAGTCCCTCCGTCAGCTGGTCAAGCTTTCTAAGCTGGAGGTGCCCGAGGAGATCACCAGAGTCATCGAGCCGATCAAAGACAACGATGCCGCCATCCGGAACTACGGGATCCATCAGGCGGTGGAGATGTGTCGCGTTCTGCTGGACAGCGGAAAAGTACCCGGCCTCCATTTCTACACCCTGAACCGAGAAGTGGCCCCCACAGAGGTTCTCCGGCAGCTGGGCCTCTGGATCGAAGACCCCAGGTGAGTCTGAAAACCCTGTTCATGTCCACGAAGAACTCATGCACCTCCTTCACAGATTTTATTAATGCTGGAGTCTTTAAGATGAGCTCTTGGACCAACCAGAGACGCTGCACATGCAGGGTCCCAGACCTTAAAGGGATTTTCCACCCTAAAGAGAGATGCAGTCTGCTTCCAGACCAGGGGCACCACTGGGTTAGTGGTGGAATGTCCCTTTAAAATGCTGCTTCCGGTTTTCACATCTTCAACTTCTCCATGTTGAGGTTTGTAGAAAGCCAGCGGCACCTCTGAGTTTTTGTTTTTATGTGTTCAGACGGCCGCTGCCCTGGGCGGTGAGCGCTCATCCCAAACGGAGAGTAGAAGATGTCCGGCCCATCTTCTGGGCCTCCAGACCCAAGAGCTACATCTACCGGACCCAGGACTGGGACGACTTCCCCAACGGGCGATGGTAGGCCTGCTGCCATGGTTACCAGAGAGGAGGCTCGTGGGAGGGGTTTCTAACCAGGCTGTCCCGCTGTTGCCTTCAGGGGAAACTCGTCCTCGCCGGCGTTCGGGGAGCTGAACGACTATTACCTGTTCTACCTGAAGAGCAAATCGTCTAAAGAGGCTCTTCTGCAGATGTGGGGGGAGGAGCTGAAAAGGGAGGAGAGCGTCTTTGAGGTGTTCACCTGCTACATCACAGGCCAACTCAACCGAAACGGACACAAGGTAGGAATGTCCGGTGGCGCCGCGCGTTCATGAACGTCTCGCCGTTTCAGATGTTTTTATCTGCAAACTGCCTCCGTTTCGTTAATATTTAGTGTTTTTGAAGCTGGAGTGTGTGGAGCGGAGTCAGCAGAGACGACCCGTCGAGCAGCTTTCGTTTGGAGAAATGGAGATTAGCTTTAAGCTAACAGCAACTCAATACAACTTATAGCATTCAAGGCAAATATTCCAGCCTTGCTGTCAAAATTCACACGTTGTGGTTGTTCCAGCGTTTTAACGAGCTGCATGGTTCGGTACCGTAGCTAGCACCGCAGCTAACATCTGCTGAAAATCGCCGTTTCTTTTGTGTTTCACCAGAACTAAGTTTCAGTTCTGAGCCGTTTCAGGACTGCAGAAACCTTTTGTACCCCTGCTGGCTCAGGACTCATCTCTGTTTCTCCAGGATGAGGCTGTTCTTACGTTTTCTTAGAGACACGGAGACCTTTCTCCTTTGGTGCTTCATGTAGAGTCTTTTTGAACCTTGAGTGCCGCTGTAGATTCAGACGGCTTCACTTAATCTCCAAACTAAAATCGCCTGCCTTCCAGGTGATGTGTCTGCCGTGGAACGACGAGCCTCTGGCCCCAGAGACGAACCTTCTGAAGGACGAGCTGGAGAAGGTCAACAGGCGAGGTGTCCTCACCATCAACTCCCAACCCAACATCAACGGTAAACCGTCCACAGACGCAGTGGTAGGCTGGGGACCTGCCGGGGGCTACGTCTTTCAGAAGGTCGGAACGCGCTTCGTTTGGTCCTTTCTGATGAAAGTGTCCCTTTGTGTCTCAAGCTTCTCCTCGGTTGTCTCGCTTTGTGTCCAACAGGCTTATCTGGAGTTCTTCACCTCCAGTGAAAATGTGAACGCTCTTCTTAAAGTGCTGAAGAAATACGAGCCGCGCGTGAACTACCACATCGTTAACGTTCACGTGAGTCAGAACGACCAGCTTCCTGTCCATCGCTGTGCGAGACGCGGCTTTGACTCGTCTCTCGGAATCGTTTCAGGGACGAAACCTGACCAACGCCCACGAGATGCAGCCCAACGCCGTGACCTGGGGCATCTTCCCGGGCAGGGAGATCGTCCAGCCCACCGTGGTGGACCCGGTCAGCTTCATGTACTGGAAGGTAGTCTGTTAGTGGGAGAAACTTTCAAAATAAAACAGGAAGTGGTGAGGTTGTCAAAATGTTGAGTAAAAAGTCATGAAAAGGTTAAAAAAAATGTCTTTTTTAAATCAAATGTAACACTAGCACTGGCACAAGTAACTACAGTACCCATAATGCCTTGTGTCAGTGGTGATCAGCCTTCAGAACAAAGTTCACTTAGTTTGTTTTTGTTTAAAAAAAAACACAAAATGAACCTTTGAGTTTCTGCACAAACATTTTACCTTTAATTTGAAAAGCTCTGGTGAAGCTTGACGTTCTTCCTGTCTGCAGGACGAGGCCTTCGCCTTGTGGATCGAGCAGTGGGCCAAACTCTACGAAGACGAGTCGCCGTCCAGGATGATCATCAAGTACATCCACGATAACTACTTCCTGGTCAACCTGGTGGACAACGACTTCCCTCTGAAGAGCTGTCTGTGGCAGGTCCTCGACGACATGTTCGAGCTCCTCGACGCGCCGCTGGAGACGCTCGCTGACGGGATGCCTGGCGACGGGAGCCATGGCGACGGGAGCCATGGCGACGGGAGCCATGACAACGGGACGCTCGCTGAATAAAAAATCTGACTAAAAGTTATTTTAGGAAGGAATTAACTTTTTAATTCAATCTCAGATTTTACAGAAAAGTGCCTTTAGGAAGAAAAAGTATTTAACTTAAATTTTTACGTTTTTATGAGTGTTTTATAGAAACTGAGTCGACGTGGAAATTAAACGACTTTTTAAACTCAGCTGAGATCCACATAAAAGAATAAAACAAAAGATTAATTAAATGTGGAAATAAGAGACAAAAGTTTTATAAAAAATTCTAAAAATTTCATGATTTTCTTTAAAATTTAATTTTAAGTGAAATTTTCTAGAAAATAGTATTTTTCTAGTCCTTTTTTTCACTTATTTATTTTAAAATTATTTTTTTAGTTAAATTAGTTTGCAACAAAAGAGTCGTTAAAAGAATAAATAATAAATTAGATCTTGTATTAAAAACTACGTTTACAAAAGACATTTCTGACAATGAATAAAAAAGTGCTCCATTAAATGTATAATCTAAGTAAGCTTAACTTTTACAATATTCTGGGTCATGCTTTGCAATAAGGGTCCCTTTATTAAAGTAGCTCTCCAGAGTTTTCCCCTTTCAGGAATTCTCTATGTCAGAAATCCATAAAAATGATCATCTGTGATATAATGTAAGCAACACGTCTTTTCTTCACTAAACACGCCCCCTGCCCCGCAGAGCTCCGTGCAACGGGAAACTGAGCGCCGACCAGAACTAACCAATAGCGTTAGACTACCACATACTTGCCTCAGATTTAAGGAATACCTCAGCTGATGCAGAGTTGATGAACTTTTCACGGATAAGAAAGTCTCTAAAATATAAATTTATGAGAACACAACATGACATCAATCGATACTTAATTAATCCCAGAGGGAAATTAGAGTTTCAGTACACACAATTCTGAGATCAGACATTCATGGGCACGACTCATGACAAGAACTGGTGACTGTGGTCATTCGCAACCCTGTGTCGCGCTTCCTTAATAGAGATAAGAGGGTAACATGAGGATTGGTTCAGGTGGAGGGAAAAAAAGGCACTTAAGAGCTGCGCTCCCACCAGGAGGGCAGCTTTGCTCTGCAAGAAAATAACATATGCAACAGACTTCAGACAACACAACATGAGACTCCAATAGAAAGGGGGGGGGGGGGGGGCTGGGATCCTGTTTCCCCCAGCGAGAGCAGCCATCTACGGCGCTCAGCCACTGTACAGTCACTTGAGAATAATACTCGTAAAACGATGTGTTTTAGCTGTTTGTCGGCTACAGAAGCACATTTACAAACAGAAACGTGAAGTCGCCATCTTAAAAATACATCAACAGACTTTTTGTGTGATGTGCTGATCAGCCACTAGATGGCGCCATCGGATAAGAGAAATAATCCAGAAGGAATTAACAACTACTTAACCATATTATGGGATGCCAGGCCCACCCCAGCCTTTGTCCTAACCTTAAGGATGCTTAATGTCGGGAACATTATTAAAGGGGCCCGTTGTTTATTAATGTTTAATAATGCACTAACGGTAATAAATCGACCCTTGTAAAGTGTTTCTCATTTATTTTTCTAACTTGCTTTTTTTAAACTCGTATTCAGAAAATCTGATAAAGAAAAATTTCTCCCACAGGTTAAAAATCTGATTTGTCTGAATAAACAACAAAACAACCTCAGAAAATCTAAGTAAACGGGATTTAGATTCCTCTGCTTCATTATTTTAGTAAGTTATTTTCATTTCCTTAAATACGTTTTTTTGTTTTTTTTACTTGAGTGGAAAACTTCGCTCCAGATGAGACGAGGAAACGTTTTTCTGTTGGAGGAAAAACTGAAATGTTGAGTTTATTTATGTTTCTGTCGTTTAAAACTTGGTGCCCAGAAACAAAAAAGCAAATAAAACAAATGAAACCGAACTAAATCCATTTGGTTGTTTGTTTACAGGAACTATTACTGATGATTTAGTTTGAATGTGTGGTTCTTCATAATCATGGGTATAATTTACTGTTGGGGTTAATGCTTTACTTCGTTTTAGATATTTTATTTTGAAACTACAGTGCAGCTGCTGGTGAAAGGGTTAATGACGTTTTATTTCAACAAAAATCCAGTAACGTGTGTTTTCATAAACCCATTTCTCGTGAAACTGTTTTCCAGTAAAAATGTGAATCAAGACCACAGCAGAGATCAGACTAATCAGTGAATTCATGTATTATTTTCCTCCCCAGCAGCCAGAAACTGCTCCTGGATCAGCAGAGTTTCAGTGTGTTGGCTCCGTAGCCTCGTCCCCGCTAACGCCATTCTGTTGGCTACCGCTTTGTTTTGGAGGCCATCTTGGATCTGGTAGACTTTCATCCTGTAAACAGTAAAGTTTCATTAAAGTCCACCCAGTGGTTGGTTGCTAACAGACACAGGTAACAATATTATGGTCCTCTTAATGACATCGTAGGTTTGCACCTTTACCTTAATGACATCATCGGTGTAACTGACCAATAGCAGCTTTTATAAACCGGAGGCTGTGAGGATTCCACACAACATCGCGTCTGCAGCAGCATGACCTCCGGTACAAAGTCCAGGTCAGAGCTCCGAGTGTGACGCTGCGTCGTTGTTGATTTTCCACTCGCCCTGACTCGTGCCCTCACCTGACCTGATACCGACCCTCACCGGGTCGACATCAGAGCGGAACCGCAGCTGGGTTGATTAAATACATCCTGGGTGTTCAGGTCCTGAATGAGGTCAGTCCCACCTCAGCTGGTGGGTCACAGGAAGTTGGACTTTCCATGACTGAACTGGTGTTTTGATCTCTGATGGTTTTAACATGTTTACCTGCCAACTGATGATGTCACTCATACAGGTAAACATCAGTAGGAGAGTCTTACACCTGCTGTAGGACTGATGGTGTCCTCTTGGTCCCCTCAGAGTCCACAGTTGTATTACATCTCTGTGGTTACCGTGGTGACCCCGATGAGCCACTGGCAGCAACTTCAACATTTCTTTTTTGTTTAGGTTGTCTTTAAACCTCCGTATTTATCAAACGGAGACATTAGGACTCAGCTTAGACTATTGAACCATATTAGAGGTTATTTAGAGTCGCCACACGTTGACGCCCACCTGAATGTCTAAAGCTTTATTCAGTTCTGTGTTTGACAAATCCAGATCCTTTCTGGGATCAGGTCTACAGAAACCAGAAGGATTCCTTAAAACCAGGTCAAAGTTCACCTGTACTATAAAGTCCAACTTTAACCTGGCTGAAATGTGATCCAGGCCCAGATGTGACCTCTGACCTGTTTTATCTGCTGCTCCTGAATACTAAACTAAAAATGATGATAATAATAATAATAATAATAGAAGACAGAGGTCTCACCCTGACCCAGAGCGATCCCGCGGTCAGCTTTTGGGTCGGATCCATGAACCAAACGGGATTTAACCCATCTGAGCGTCGGGTTTACTCCTGAAACCTGAAACCAACGCTGCTCCTGTAGCATCAAACCAGATGTTAAACAAAGGATGCTGATGTTGGAGCTGAAACAACATCAGTGATGGACTTCTGCCTGGGTGCACACAGGTGAAAAGCAAGGAGGGTGAAGCTGAGAACCACAGTTTGTGTGACCCAACCAGGTGGTGTTACGAGCCTCCCACTGGGGCTCATCAGTCTGCACGTTGCAGCAGAAAGAAAAAAGAAATCAAAGCAGAAGATGATTTCTAAAAAAGGTCAGGGTGAGACTCGTGATTCAGGTGGAACCACATCAGACAGCAGCAGAACTTCTTTACCAAACCATTAAATCAGACCCACTGATGGGTTAGTAACTGGATCTGATTCTAGAAAGATTCAGAACATCTGGATGCTGATGCAGGAACATTTCAGCGTTTATATCGAATACTTTCTAGAAAAAAAAAACAATCTGTAAATGATTTGAGATTTTAAATAAGGGAAAATATATAAAGAGAGAAAATGCTAAACTAATTAGACTATTAACTATAATTTCATTAAAAAATATTTCAGAGCCTCAGTTTTAAATGGAAGCAACCTGAAAAAACAAAAATACATTTGTGTTCAAAGTTAATGAATACCTAATAAAGTTTTATTGTTTTTATCTATCTCAGCTCATTCTTATGCATCAAAAACACAAAATCCTCATGGGTTTTTATTTATTTTATTTTTTATTCCAAACTCTATGAATATAAATTCTATGTGAACCAAAAGTTTAAAACTCTCTTTTCTACAGAAACAACAGAGAAATCAAGTTTTTTGGCATAATTTCCACATTTTTTGTAACAAAACACTGACTTCTTTGTAAATGTACTTTAGAAATAACGTATTAGAATAAACTAAATACAGAAACCGTCTTAGAAATGGGACGAAATGAATGAGTTAATCACAGGAAACACCTACACACTGAAACATCATAACTGACCAGTTGAAATAAAGAAAACTTAAATATTAAAGAATTGATTTTTACCTAAAACAAAACAAATTACTGTTAATTAAATTAAAACAAACTCATAAATTGTTAACTAATAGGTGTGAAAAAAGTTATAAAACATAAACATTACTTTTTGTTTCTGGGTTTATGAACAAAATCTGTGGTTGACACAAAAATGAAACTAAACTTTGAATATCAAACTAAAAAAAAAAGAATAAATGATTTGTGTGTTTCCACTTGGCAGCGTTCACAGGTCGGGGTCGTGACCCCGCAGGGTGTTGAACTCTTCCGGGGCCGAGTACTTGTCGGCCCCCTGACTGGCGGAGTGGCGGAAACCTGCTGAGATCTCCTCAAAGGTACGGCCTTTGGTCTCCGGAACCTTAAAGTAGGTGAAGACGAAGAACCCGAGCAGCAAGACGGTGAAGATGATGAAGACGAACGGCCCGCAGAGTTGCTGTAAACCAGCACAAACATCCGGTCTGGAGTTGGGATCACTTTCACACAGAACAGCATTTCAAAAGGACTGAAAATGTGCTTTAACGTCTGCACTTTCTTACCTCCACATACTGGAAGAACATTCCCACCAGGAAGTTGGCTGACCAGTTGCAGAAACCAGCAACAGCCACGGCGGCGGGCCGGGGCCCCTGGCTGAAGAGCTCAGCCACGATAAACCACGGGATGGGGCCAGGGCCAATTTCAAAAAATGCCACAAAGCTGAAGATGGCCACGATGCTGACATAAGACATCCAGCTGAGCTGATCCTGAGCAGAAAACAAAGCAGAAATCCCAAGAACACCTGCGGGGTTTACAGGAGTCGTCCATGAAGTGGGAGGGGTTTTCCAAAGCTGATCCCTTACCAACAAGGCCATGGCGACGGTCAGAAAAACAGCTGAGACGGCCATCCCCATCAAACCAATCAGGTGAAGGGGCCTCCTGCCCACATGCTCCACAACAAACAGCTGCACAGGAGGGAGGACATGTGAGGTTCCCAGTGTTCCCACACTTCCCAACTTTAATGGTTGCTTAGAAACTTACAGAAACCACAGTGAAGATGGTGTTGACCACTCCGGCACCAATGGTGGCATAGACAGGCTGGGACACACCCGCCCGCTCAAAGATACCGGTTGAGTAGTAGAACACCTGCAGAGGAGGAGATCCGTAGATGTTAAGTTCTGATCATCAGTTTGATGCAGGATTATTTAAAGAGCAAGTCACCCCCTACCAGATTCTAACTCCACTTCTAACAAATGCTGTTGCCTGGCAGACTGAGAGGGCGAAGCTGCTAACAAATACACACACACAGGCTCACAACAGCATTGTGACATCATAATGTACTAGTTTACATCATAGCATACCTCTTAGCCAATAGCGGCGGCAGATTTAAATTCAATGCAGTGCAGAGTTTTTACCTGACAACGGCACAACACTGCCAGTTTTAGGCAGGATAGTTAAATTTTAACTAAGATGCACTGAAGTGCCAAATTATTGAGGACAGGTGTCTGCAGCACGATTAGACACTAGTTTATTTAGTTTATCAGCAAAAAAATGTTTATTTGAGGGTGACTTGCTTTTTAAAAGTCTCTGAAGATTCCTGCTTCATCTCCAGTTTGTGTCTGACCTTTGACCCCATTTGGCTGCCTAAAACCAAGGATTGTACAGGGGGTGTGGACACCCTACTTCTATTCACCCACAAAGGTGTGGAGAAATCCGGTGATTCTAACATAAATGGGGGCTTGTCCGGGATTGTGTGGGTTCCTTGCATGGGTAGAACAGGTTAACTCCATGTAAATGGTCTGTATTTGTATAACGCTTTCTTAGGGTTCTACCACCCCCTAAGGTACTTGACAACACAATCAGTCATTCACCCATTCACACACTTGTGGGGATGAGCTACAATGTAGCCACAGCTACCCTTGGGCAGGGCGGGTTAAGTGTCTTGCCCAAAGACACAACAGCAGCCCTCTCTGGTTAGAGCGAGGATTCAACCTGCAACCTTCGCATTACTGGATAACCTGCTGTACCTACTGAGCTGCTGCTGTCCCATAGCCGTTATATTTACGCTGATCTAAAGGACGAGCTTGTAGGGAGGATGGTGCTGGTTGAGTAACCAGTTTTTTCTGTCTGGATCAGGGCAGAGCGGCGCAGGAATGCATGCTGTGATGAAGTCACTGAGGTCTGGCTCAGGACTTTATATTTAGTTCTTCTGTAAACACGGATGCTGTTGCTCTGGAGGTAAGACAAATAGCCCACACCTAAGTTTGACCCTTAATAAAAGCCCGCTGTGACTTACGGCATTGATGCCAGACAGCTGTTGGGAGAGCTGCAGCATGATGGCAACAAGGATGGGTTGGCGGTAAACTGGAGACCGGAACAGCTCAGGAATGGTCACCTTCTTCTCCATCATCATCTTCTGGCTCTCCTCCCTCATCTCCTGTATGTCCTCGCTCACCTCGTCAGTGCCTCGTAGCTTCATTAAGGCTGGAGCACAGCAGCAACACCCGTTAGTAACATGGGCCCAAAATGTTTGTCCTTTAATATTTACGTTTACTTGAGCGTCCTCGTGAAGACAGAAAATACTTTTTCAGATCCTTTTGATATCTTTGCTCCTCTTATGGAAGATATTGTGTGTTTCTACCCTCATCTAACTCTCAACAGATGAATGTCGACTACTGATTGGCTTAATTAGCTAGCCCAAGTCAATATGGCTGCCACAGCTAATCATTCTTAGCCAACAAAGACTCAGTTATTAACAGCTACTGAGCTAGCGCTTGCCGAGCCATTTACAAAGCGTGAAAGCTTGAACTCTCACCACTGCAGGCTTTGCTTTCCTCGTTGCAGTCGATGAGGAGGTAGCGAGGGCTCTCAGGGCAGAACGGCAGCAGGGCACACTGCAGGATGGCCGGCAGAAGAGTAAAACCCAACAGGAGTGGCCATAAGGAGGAGTTCCCCATGATGGATTCAATCCCAAAGACCTGTGACATTAATTCAACAGAGGGCCTGAAGGAAATACATTTAGCACTGTCTGCTTTAGAAAACCGAGAGACCCCACACAAGGAGATAAAAACTGTAGACATAACAGCGTCGGTGCTACAGTGTGTGGCGTGCAGCCACACGGCAAAAACTGCACACTAATGGATTTCACTTGTGAACATTCCCCCGGTCGGACAGAAAATCCCACTAAACGTCTAATACTCTTGCCTCTGGGTCTTTTTTTGGAGTGGCCCTCAGACCGTTTTGATTGAAGACCCTGGATTTCTGGGGCTTGGATCTCCTTCATTTGTTTCACGGGTGTTGGGGGGACAGGTCAGTGGCCCCCCACACTCACTGCTATACTCTTTGGTGGAGAAACCTCACACACACAAGAGTGTGTACGCACACATGGTGTTCTGTGGACTCGGGTATTTTTGACAGTGGTTGGCTCTAAATGCACCATGGATCACTGCCTTGTGCTTTTCAGCAATCTCCAGTTTGTGGCTGACCTTTGACCCCATTTGGACTGTGCAGGGGGTGTGGACACCCTACTTCTCTTCTCCCACAAATGTGTGGTGAAATCTTGTGATTCTAACATAAATGGGGGCTTGTCCGGGATTGTAACGGTTCCTTGCATGGGTAGAACAGGGTAGAACCTGCATGGATAGAACCCCTCCCCCAGGTATCCTACCTGAGCCAGGAGAATCCCGATCACCACTCCAAGCTGATGCAGCGTGCCCAGTGCTCCACGGAGGGATGTTGGTGAGATTTCCTCCACATACATGGGCACAAAGCCAGTGGAGAGACCACAGTAGAGGCCCACAATGAAACGTCCGATAATGAGCATCTCAAAGGAGGCCGCCAGCTCAGAGAAACCCATGAAGGCGGCAGCAAAGACCACCAGAACGTTGGCCCCCAGCATGGAGTTCCTCCTGCAGAGATTGCACATGTACTAACAGTCCTGAGAGCTGTTGCTGTGGTTACCAGTAGGGTCCTACCTGCCAAAGCGGGTGACAATGAGCCCGATGGAGAAGGAGCCGATCATCCCTCCCACAGAGAAGATGGCCACAGAGAGAGACCACAGAGCTGTCAGGGTGTTCCGTGAGATGGGTTCTGAGAACCTGCCGGTCCACGTCTTGTTGTAGAAGCTCTCAATGATCTGAAACACAAAACAGATCCAAGCTAGTCCAGCAGATCACACCTGAAGATTCACATCCATTTAATTTCATGAAGGACGGAGTTCCTCCAACTTTCAGTCTCAGTTAGATTTTTGGGTTCCACTTCCTGTTTATTATTTATGACCAGCTGATGGTTGCATCTTTGCTAAGTGGTCTATCATGTGTCTGTGTTGGTTATGAAGCTACAATAAGGTGCTTCAGTTGTGCATTTAGACTTCCTGCAGATATAAAACCACTTTCACTCACATTCTGAGGTGCATTGATGACACCGGTGTTGTAGCCAAACTGCAGAGAGCCGATGACAGCCGTCCCCGCAGCTAGCATCAGGTGAGGCGTTAGCTGTTGAAACAAACAGTCACATAAACAAACATCAGCCAAAATACATCTATCTTTCTGCAGTCTGTGTGATCCACAGATATATTTTTATTATTATTGTTGTTATTGTTATTATTATTATTATTATTATTATTGTTGTTGTTGTTATTACTATTATTATTATCGTTATTGTTATTATTATCATGATTATTATTATTATTGATGTTGTTGTTATTATGAATATTATGATTATTGTTATTATTATGATTATTGTTGTTATTATTATTGTTGTTGTTATTATTATTGTTGTTGTTGTTGTTATGATTATTATTGTTGTTGTTATTATTATTATTATTGTTAATGTTATTATTATGATTATTATTGTTGTTGTTGTTATGATTATTATTATTGTTGTTGTTGTTATTATTATTATTGTTATTTGTTGTTGTTATTATTATCATGATTATTATTATTATTGATGTTATTGTTACTATAAATATGATTATGAGAATGATTATTATGATTATTGTTATTATTATTATTATTATTGTTATTATTATTACTATAAAACCAAAAAATCTAAGGGACATTTAAAGTTTAGATAATACTATTTCAAAGTTTCAAATATAATATGTCTGAATATATTAATTATTTCCAAAGTTTTTTTTATTTTTGCCTCATGACGCTTTTACTTTAAAAAAGATCAAACTAGAATAAAAATACAGAACACTTTGCAGATTAATACTTAAGAAATAAAAACGCATCCCGTTGTTTATTGTTCATGACTCAAATGTCCTCAGAAGAACTATTTGAACGAAAAACTTATTAAAGGTTTTTCGTTTTTGTATTTTTTTATTTTTTTGAGGCAACAAGAACAATAATGTCAATGCTACTAACAGTAACTCATCAGGGTCACCATGGTAACCTTCGTGGTAAACCATCTGTGGAAAAATCCTCCAGCTTAAACCGTGTCTGTATGAAAACAACCCCAAATATCAGAACACCAGTTCAGTCACAGAAAGTCTAGCTTCCTGTGACCTGTGACCCTATACCTGCGCTATAGAGCTTCAGAGGGGGCGGGGCTACATCTCCTGATACTGTCAAAAAGTTACAATTTCTATTTAGCCCAATAATCCAAGAGACTTCACCAAAACTATTCGCTCTCTGTTCCTGACTTCGCTGCACACACCGGAGGTGTGACACTGTGGCATCATCAAGTCATCTCCATGTCATGTTTTTGTTCTGCTCAGCAACTGAACCAGGTTAATTCACTGTTCTGATTGAAATCACCTGGTTTAATTGCTGAGCAGAACAAAAGCATGACAGGGAGATGACTTGATGATGCCACAATGTCTCACACACACACACACACACACACACACACACACACACACACACACACACACACACACACACACACACACACACACACACACACACACACACACACACACACACACTTGTCTCTGTATCCCTGTGACTCCACTAACCCTAAATTTAACCAATGGGATTAAACTCCTAACCCTAATCTAAACCTAAATCAAAAGTTTATTCTCACCATACCTCTAAAACTACCTTTTAGGGTATTTTGTCATCGTGTGGACCAGCTAGCTGTCTCCACAATATGGAAATGTCCACACACTGCCGGTTG